TCACCCAGGAATCAGCAGCTCTAGTCCAGTCCACTCGGTAAGCACCACACACGAACCACCAAGGGCAATCCAATCCAGAAGAAACCAAGAGGCTCACTGTCCACCTGCCCACATCCACCGTGGAAGTTGTAGGAACCTCATGAATTCTTTGGAGAGTTTCTCTCTATTAAGTCACCACCAGTGAAGCTCAACAATGCAGTGTAAGGTGAACCAATACGTGTGTATTGTCAGGAAAGAACAGAGAGGCAGAGGAAGAATGCCAACCAAATGCTCTGGAGTCATACTTACATTCTTCTAAATATCACATGCTCTTTAAATGTGTCTGCTATAGCAAAACATCCTTTCACCTGTGTCTGCTTCAAGAAAACCTTATTTTACATGTCTGCTTTAGCAAAACATCCCTTTACCGGTATGCCCGAGCAAAGCATCACTTGACACAGCCGACTTTCCAAAGAAAACAGTAGTTTCCACTTCAAAGAGACTTTACTAAGAGACCATGGATACTGGCCATGTCCATACCTAAACCTCATGCACAGAGTATGGTGCTAAATTACATTAGTCAGGGGCTGATAAAGGGAAAACTCACAAGGCTATGCACTTCTCTTCTTGCTGTCAGAGGCAATTATTCAGGCACACCTCCTGATACATACTCCCTGACCACATATGATCAAACACATCCTGTGTAATTGGGACAACTGATCTTATTTACAGAAGTGAAAACATGTGGTTTGTTACCTTACATGAACAACAGCTGTAGAGAGAATCTCTTGTGTACTGTGTAGAAACAGCACCTGCTAGTCACAAAACTGTTGGGCTATTAGCTTACGCAGAATATAGGAGGCGGGAGTTCCAGTAGGAAGAGAGAAATTCTGGGTTAGAAGCAAATGCAGGAAAAGCTTTCACCCTGGATTCCAAGGAGACAGACATGTGAAACTGAGGAGAAGTAGTCAACCATATAGTACACATAGAACAGAATAAACAGGTCATATTAATTACAAGCTGGTCGGGGAATGAGAAAAAGGTTATGGCTTAAGCATTTATTCATAATTAAGTCACAGAGCAGTTATTTTGGGAACTGTGCCATGGGTGGTAAAGCCTGTGGTTATAAACAGCCCCCAGGATTCCAGGAAGTTATCTGTCATTGGGCAGTAGGGCTTATACGTTACAGGCGTTTTTGTTTTACAGATTTCTTAAGCAATTTAAGTTTAAAACATAAAATTAGCTACCAAAGTTAGACTGTTCCATTCAGATCTGCTTACAGTGATTTGTGGATTTTCTAACCAGAATTCCAAAGTCCTGCACACCCCTTCAGCGCATCAGCCCCAAGTTCCTCCTGACCACATGGTCAGGTTATCACACCAACGGCCTCACTCCTCATACAAGCTTTCTGCATTAGTCACCTAGCTCTTCTCAGTGATAAACTAGCTGGGAAAGTAAGTTGAGAAAGAAGTGATTCCTTTGGCTTACAGTTGAAGAGTCCAGCCTCTCATGGTGGGAAATTCATGGTGGCAGAAGCATGGAGCACCTGGTCACGAGACATCTTAACTGAGGAAGCAAAGAGACTTGTGGATGGTAATTCAGGTCATTTTCTCATTTTTGCTCAGCTAGGGAACACAGTCCTGGGATGATGTTGCCCACAGTCAGAGTTGTTCTTTGCTCTCAGTTCAGCCTTTCTGAAAGACTGGTTTTTTTTCCTTTAAAGTTTATTCAATACAACATAATCTCCAACTTCACTGAGGTGGCTGACCAGGTCCACGACTAAGGCTGCCTCTAAACTGGAACTCAGTTGCTGAGCCAGCCCCAGCCTCAGCCTTCTTGTCAGCTCTAGGGGCACAGTGCTCCTTCTGTAGGTGTCTCTGTCTGCCTCTCCTCTTGTGAATCGTGCAGGCCACTCACCCTATGGACCTTTGGGCCGAGGCCTGCCAGTCTTGGGACAGCTGTGGCTCAGGGTGGCAGGCACGATCTCCAGAGGTAGGTTCAGGTAATCTCAGAGATACTGGATGCCCTCATTCGTGAGGTACCAGTAGAAATGCCTCCAAGCAAACTGCTCCTTCACGTAGCCTCGAGACTTCAGAGACTGCATGGCCTTCATTACATGAAGGTTGGGCACATTCTTGTCCTCCAGCTAGGGGTGTTTGGGCATGTGGACATCTTTTTTGGCAACTTCCTTAAAAAGGACTTCATAGACGGCAATCTGATTCTTCTTAGGCATCAACATCACAGTGGCGGCAGGGTCCCAGGTGGAGGCTAGAAAGGAAGCCTGAAAGACTCTTATAGACACTCCCAGAAGTCAGTTTCCATGGAGATTGCAGATCCAGAAAGCTAACAGTGATGATTGACAATTTTGACCATTTTATCAGCATCTATGCATATTTATCTGAAGATATGACATATGTCCTGCATTTATCATATTATATGTAGCCCAGGTTGGCCTTGATTCTTATTCCTCTTACATCAACCTCCCAGATGGCCTGATTAAAGATATAACCCTTGGTTTATTTTTAGCTTATCAGGTTTATTTTTAGAAACTGGTATATGTGATTACGGGGTTGGCAAGACCAAAGTCTATGACACCCGGTAAGACTTCAGATAGATAATGAAAGTTTTGTTTTTTGATCAGACTTCCTTCCTGACTGTTACAGTCAGTGTTTGCTCTCAGGTCCTTCCAGTATTCAATGTCCTGAGGAGATGGTCAGTTTCCTCTGTTCTCTACTTCAGAAGTCTGAGTTCTAGTCCTCCTGATAGAGAAGGATTTGATAGGTCACAGTAGTAGAAGAAGCAGCCAAGAGTTTAATCAGAGCGAGGAAGGAAGCAAAAATATATTCTTTGAAAAAGAGTCACTCAGACTGGGCGGTTGTGGCACATGCCTTTAATCCCAGCACTTGGGAGGCAGAGACAGGCGGATTTCTGAGTTCGAGGCCAGCCTGGTCTACAGAGTGAGTTCCAGGACAGCCAGGGACACACAGAGAAACCCTGTCTCGAAAAACCAAAACCAAAAAAAAAGAAAAAAAAGAAAAAAACCGAAAAAAAAGAAGAAGAAGAAGAAAAAGAGCCATTCAGGACTAAATGATGGCTTAGTGATTAATGTGCCCTTTCCCCAGCCTGGAGCAGGCCTGAAGGATCTTGTTTACCACAGTAGACCAAAAAATAGGACTCAGGAGGTGTTACCCACCTTGGTGGACACTACAGTCAGCTACAGGAGCTGAGATGAATAGACCGCCTGATGAGCTTGCCTTGAGACACCTCTGGCTGCGATTAAGGATCGATTCCCCTCACCCACAGCAGCTGAAGCAAGAAGGGGTTCTGGTGGTGGTGGAGGGCTTTCCCTTTTTATTGAGAGCTAAACATTAAACTTGGAGCCTTGATCAAGATACTTGTCTTGGCTACATCTTTTCTTGCCCTTCCGTCCCTTCCTTTCATTCTCTTCCCCCCTTTCAGGTGAACCCAGTTGTTTCGTGGCCGCAGGTGCCTACAGAGTAAGAGCACTGGCTACTGTTCCTTAGGAGCCAGGTTCAATTCCTACTACCCATACAGTGGCTCAGAACTTTGTGTAATTCCAGTCCCAGGGGATTTCACACTCTTTTCTCTGCAAAGATTCTGGAATCAAGCATGTATGTGGTGTAAACCCATATATGCAGATAAAACATCTCTATACATAAATAAAATAAGTAAAACAAAAAATAGGAATGCTAAATTAAGCTGAACAGCTATGGCTTCAGCCCTGACAAGTGTGGGCCTTATACTGCTCTGTTCTGTATGGTGTCTTGCCTTGTGCTGCCTCCAGTGTGGACTCTCAGAAAAGGTGTGTGTGTCCCTCAGAGGTTTATTTCCTTAGAATTCGGTGTCATAAGCAGTCGTGGAATAGTAAGACTTTGCATGCGCTTTTAAGTACCAAAGTTGAAAAGTTTACTTAGGGAAAGGGAAATACTTTGTGAAAAATCCCCTGGAGAGGACTTCATGAGGTTGCTTTATTTTGATCTCTCGATCATGGACCCCGAGTCTCCATAGTCCCTCATTTCTTTTTGGGGGGCCCTGAGTTAAAGAGTTTCGACTTGTCCATTGACCTCTGCCCTCATCTTTCTGTATTAACCACCAGTCAATTACCCCATGCTCTGTTTCAGGACTTTGAGCTTGCTTTTATCGGGCAACCTTTGAGCTGGCTCATCCATTGCTCTCTATGGCCTAGCTTTGGGAAACTGTTGGCTCCTTTTATTTGTCTAATAATGGGGAGCATGACCATGGGAGGTTTCAGTGATTATTAAGTTCAAGACATGGCAATCTAGGGGTTTCTGGACAGCATATACTCCTGTTAAGGTCAATGTCCCATTTCATGATGAGAAGACAATTCATTCCAGACTTGTTCACTCTTGTGTGTACCCGCTCTGCTCACAGCCTTTCAGTCTGACTCCTTTCCTGCACACACTCTGAACTCTGACCCTTTAGCTGCCAGGTGTGTTTTAGACAGAACATTAACTCTTAAGTCTGGCCATGGCTGTATTCTCTGGTCGAGTTAGGAATTGTTTCTATCCAGGGGCTGGAATGCTAAGGGAGTGACCTCTGCCAGACTGTAGGTGGTGAGCCAAGACATTCCAGAGTTGGGTCTGCAG